AGTCACACTTTGGTCACGTGTACTTCCGGTCAAGTGGATAGTAGTTGGAATGAGAGTTGAGACACTGTGCATCCTGAAACAGAAAGTGCGTAGTTTATTTCTGAAACAATTTTGTCATTGTTCTAGATTATTTGTCGCTTCTCCTTCTGATATCGCCACAGCGCAGGGATAATGATATCTAAGTCAGTAACCTGATCCATTGTCCAGATGGACTTCTAGCATACCTTCTAATTTTATAAACAATTGACCTGACTTTATGCGTATTTTTGTGACGGCAGCTATCACAGGTGTAAATACGCTCGTGTGTGAGCTCTGGGTGTCCTCACAAGGTGATATGAAAGATGATTACACACCTCTGATATGGCGGGAATTGTCCAATAGACTTTAAGCTGGGGGTTTCGAAATTTATAAACCTGACCTGGCTTTGCGTGTTTTGCGCGAGCATCACTACTGCCAAATATGCTCGTCTTTCACGGGGCACCCGGTGTCATCACAAGCTTAAGGTGTTAGTGGCCGTCACACACTACTACTGATATGGCGGGAATTCCCCAATGGACTTGGCTGGGTTTCGTATCAACATTGGGTTATCGTGTCTCTTTATTCATTAACAAAGAACTCACACATCTCTATATTTACCCAATAGCTATAAATCATGATAGTTTTAAGTTCTTGGTAATTGAGTGTGTTTTGTATAGATGCAACCTATAAAATATTCATATACTGACCAGCCAAAGAAATTCATTTCAAGAAATCAAAACATTATTTCATTGATCAAATCAAAGACTCATGCTGAAAAGTATAATTTTTCTGAATGCTGGGGTGCGTTTTCATTGCTGGTCAGTATATATTAATCCCTCGAAGGTTTATTATTAATGTAATCGTACGATCGTTATATGTACGTGTGTTTGCTTTGCACTTTACTTTAACGCTGCACTCATCGATATGACAGCAGTCAGTAAATAATCGAGCATGGACCAATCAATCCAGTGACTGACATCGATTATATACATGAACCAAGTCAGTGGGCCTGCCCCACAGTTAATCACCTTTACGGCCAACATTTTTTCCCAGGACAAACCCGGATCTTGACGGGGTTCCGTATTTTATTTAAAGAATATCTTTAATCAATTGAAGGAAAGCTTGATTTTAAAGTATAATGTAATTATACCTCTGCTGTAAGTTCAACGGTGTTGAGGTGAACGTCATCAGATATTACTGTAGAACTGCGCATACACGCTTCATTCCTTCTGTTGTGATAGGACTGTCGTTTGAGGAAGATACACCTGGAAAAGGTTTAATTGTTAATTATTATTGACATTAGAAATGTTCTTGAGGAACATACATGTATGTCCATTAACACGCACTGATGTAGAAACAATAAGAAGGTGCAGAGAAAGATCTCTTTAATTCTCCCCAAACACAGGAAATTTCCGTACCGGTTGGTCTGCAGCCCAAGTGATCAAAATGCAGGAATCACTTTTAAACACTTGACTCCACACTTCCTCCTTGTCTTGACTCGACAAAACGACGAAACCATTCTTGGATTTGTGTGGACTGAAAAATAATGAAAAAATATTCCATGTATATATCCGACGCAAACAGAAACATAGAAAGTATGAAAAAGAAACATAAGGTGCCATTTATCGAGAGGGCGAACAGTAAAATGAATTGTTGTCGGCAGAGTTATACAGGATGCTATACTTACTGATAATGTGGTAACTGTATCTCTTTTAAACCCTTCTGAAATAAAATTTCAAGGTGAATTTCAACTACATATATATTTTTTATCGAAATAAGATGCTTGTTCATTAACCGAGTTTAATTGAGTTTACAGATTAAGAAATTGTTGACAACAGGAAAAAGAAAAAGAAAATCCATAAATGCAATTACCTTCTCTCTCTTTTCCAATACCTGCAAACAAATATCATAACACTCCCTGTATTTCAACGCTTTGCGATTGTCGATTCATGGTCACATTGATATAAATGCAATTTATTTCCAGCCAAGTTTAGTTGTTCTGGATTTGTACCCGTGCAGATCCGGGTTAGAATTGGTCTTCAGCAATCAAAGCTTATCGTAAGAGGAATCGGGTGGTCAGGCTCGCTGACTTGGTTGACACATGTCATTGTATCCCAGTTGGACATATCTATGCTCAGTTTGATGGCCACTGGATTGTCTGGTCCAGACTCAACTATTTAGAGACCGTTGTTATATAGCTGGAATATTGCTGAGTGCGGCGTTAAACAATAATAAACAATATACAAAAACAAGAAAATGTTCTGGAGCTGACCCACCTCAAGGTGTTGCTGTACATTCTTGTTGCCCATGGTAACCTCAGACACGTGACTGAGATCAGTCTGTATGATCATGTCCGAGTCCAGTGAGGTGTCCCCCTCTGACACCGCCATGTCCACGACCTGGTGCAGAAACAGATACTGCTCCTGGTGTTAGACGAAGAGAAAATGATGTCAGGAAGCCAGGATAGATAACATATAAACTGCACAGTGTGATGGTAGTGTACTCACCTTGGTCCGTATCATGTTCTTCCTTTGGCCTCTCATGCTGGAGATGAAGCTGACGACGTCAGCTTTGCCTTCTTACCGCTGCCTGATCCACGAGACTCTCTATAGCTATATACGTCCCTGTCCGGCCAACACCAGCACTGGCAAAACAAAGGAAGCAGTCATAATATATGGATACATCCAGTAACATCTAGCATGCGAATTAGTCATTCCCTTAGTCCCTTTGTATGTGTGGAAAAATAGGTGTAATGCATTGTCCAAATGTTAATGGAGGGGCTTCTCGTATGTGTGAACATTTAAGTCCACTTTGTAATCAGCCTTATAGTATTTCCGTTTCTGCAAAAATTGTGCACGAAACAATGTCAAAGGAAATGGATTTAGAAATAGCTTATTATTGATGTCATTTATCAAAGAAGTGCACACATTCATTGCATAATTAGAACAATGTCGGGTGAATGACAAGAACCATTATTATGCATAAAACTGTAAAAGAAACTTATGAAATATAATCTTTATGTTTATCGATCAATGTAATGACGGCAGAGCGTGATATGTGTGAAAGTCAATTCTTTTTAGCAATAGTGAATTTAAACTGTGACGAAATACGTTTATGTCCCAGAAGACACTTGTCTTGTCGAAACTAGCTCATGATCAACTGGGACAGATACCATGAAGAAAGTTACAATTCACTCAATCACAGCTACCAATGTAGCCACTGGTATAAATTAAAATATATCTTTAAAGAAAAAAACAACATATAAAATGCAATGTGACTGTTCAGTAAAGTAAATGTGAATAACTTTAACTGGTTAGTCGTTGTGGCCATCTATTTGATACCAGTAAATGCATATGCACGTGTATGATCAGACAAACCAAGTACCTGCAATGAATAACGGTCGGGTGTTCTAGCACGCCGGAAGTGCCCTTTGACTCTCCACATAAACTCCAGGAAGGCGGAAGTGTCTGGTGCGTCATTATCCGGCCAGCCCGTGAATTGAAAGTGGTTGAGATGTCGAACCTGGCTTCCTAGTATATTGCATAATAGTTGTTGATAGTATTTAAGAATGTATTTGTGTTGTACAATACGATGAAACTCCTATAACAAACTTTTATCGGAACAATTACAAATACTGAAATAAGGCTTATCACATCAATTCCCCTACATCACAATCGATTTGGGTTTTTCTACAGTGGTAAAACATATTACGATTTGAATTAATTCGAGTTTTCAATCGGGGAGTGAGTGAGATGGATTTTACGCCGCTTTTAGCAATGTTCCAGCAATATCACGGCGGTTCAATAAGAAAACACCAAATGCCATGCCACACAGTCATCAAATGTTGGGATTATCTTCTCTTTTCCTTTATTTGTGATGTGTGTGAACAAAACATCTTCTATAATCTTTTTCTTTCTGAAGGGACAATCTGCGATTTTGTAGTTTGCGAGGCGTGTTTCTGTCTCCATGGTAACTGTAATTTCACCAAATTGGAGGGAGCCTTGCTCAGGCCAGTACTGGAAGACACTTTATCTGCAACAGTAACAGGGGGATATAAACACATAGCGACACCATTCACTCTGGTTTCGGGAAGTTAGTCTGTAGCATAATATTAGGGGAAATGATCATATTTTTAGTTATAGTGACTCACAAATTCAAACATTGGAGAACCAACCATCACATAATACTCTAACAGTAACAATGTTTAATCTATGTCTTTGAGCCTTGTCATTTTTTTCCCAATGGATGTTTTGTTTCTTTTCTGCCACAAGAAAGAATAACCTTATTACCTTCCCTGTCTCAACAAGCTCCGTCAACATGACAACTGTTGCACATTGCCCTGGTAGATCATCCTCCAGAAATCCACCACGACTTCTGGTCTGTAGGGACCTAATGGAAACTTCATATGAAAATGCTGGATACTATACAGATAACTACACCAAGCCACCTTTAAAGAAAAATATCAAAAGGTGTATCCCTATTCCCTTGTAATTGATTTGAGCCAGCTAATTTTGGCATGAAGATTTTATCAATTTTAACTGTGACAAATTGTATTTCGGAGACCTTTTGTTCTGGTGAAAGAGTTACCTTGTGCTGCAATGTAACGTTTCTCTGCTTTATAACCCTGGAAAAAAACGTGTTTAATATCATTTCAGGAAACGTTTCAGACCTTTAGCCCTTCGTAGTATTTATGCTTTATACGCTCACATATATAGAGAATACTACTCGGTCTCATTATTACGAATTATACGAAACGAGTGTCCTTCCTATGGTATCTGACCGAGCGAAACTCGAAGGTCAGATATCATAGGAAGGTCACGAGTTTCGTATAATTGTATGTAATGAGACCGAGTGTGGTATTTTATTTTATTACCCACGTCTTACATGCATTAAATTGACAAAATAGCGTATTTTTGTTATGTTTTTGGTTTCAAACCGAAACCTGTTTCATAAAGAGGTTGCGGAAGAGTTTTGTACTGTAGTACAATATTTGCATGACGTCACTCTGTAATAACGTCACTGCCTTGGTAACCGACGTCACGATGCATGTCAGTTGTCATCGCCTCTCGTACAGCCTCTTACAGTAAACTACTCCGTAGCACCTCGTTTCTTGGTTTCCAGTTGCTTCATTCGGCTAACATCACTGGTGGAAACGTTGCGTTTACTTTTTCGACGGATATAATGTCTCAGTTCGACTCACAATTAAACAGCGACACGCCAGCGTTCGAATGTTTAAATTCCCACAATGCATTTAAGTTGTAGAATGAATGAATTCACGTGTTTGTTAATGAAAAAATAGTTACGTCAGAATGTGACCTAATTGGGAGGTCATTGGTTACCCAATCAAATCGTTAGAATCTCAGGTCAAGTCGTTACGACACAGGTCAACGCGATACGACACTCGTGTGACGTAATGAGATTAGTATGCAACTACCCATACGTTGAGCTCGTGGGTAATAAACTCACATACTTTATCATAATAGCTGTACAATATAAGCGAGTCTCAATGTTGCTCGCATACATGTGTCTATGTATCTGTATAACATAAACATATAAACTGAGACATTATAGCCCACACATGTATCATTTAAAACAGAATTTAATAAAATTATTATGATAGGGTATTTAGTTCTTTGTTACATAAAAGTTAAGAGTTTTGATTGCAGTTCAGGTCGTCATACTGAATTTGGGGCAAAAACTTACGTCAATGTAGCTGGCGTTGATGTAGTCTCCTCTTGTGCTCTCACTGCCGTCGTGCAACACCACACGGTTGTAGCCATCTATTTGTTAAAATAATGACATCGATTTTTTGACAATGGCAGACTTATTACATGGCAAATCTTAGCATTCTGCTTCAACCCCTCCTCTGCAAAATGTACTACATGGGTAATATCCTTTGAACCTGTTTTTTCCTTTGTTTCTAGGATGTTGAGATTCACTATAGGAGTGGACGAAACCTCCGGTAGTCGCTGAAAAATAACACAATTACACATCTAAACCCCTTTCCTTTTGATAAAGTATGAGTGGGGCGTTAAACAAGAGAAATATTCAGTATGACCAAAGTTTAAGCAGAACAAACAACACTGGACACAACTTACATAAAATTCTTCTACTGCTGATTTCATTTGCTCGTCTATCTGAGGCTGGGACAACGGAATCACTTGGCGGTGTTCAGCAACGTAAGTGTTGTAGTAGTTCCTGCCAGGGACATCTGGTGTGTCTTCAACCTGTACAACCAGGGCAATGGCATTGTGGTCCGTCTCTTCCGTCCCTTGGGGACTTCACGCTTTAGGTCACGGTCACGTGAACCCCCTAGCTGATTTCTCGTTGACAGTCGTATAGAAATCCCGTGGAGACTTCTGACTGAATGCCACCAAACGCTCTTTCTTCTGGATTCTTTCTGGACGGTTCATCTACTGTTTCTTCTTCTCGAAGCTAAGATTCACGTACTTACTGCTGTCGTTCACTGAAGTAAACACGTGTCGTGATTATTAAACCATTTAATGGAACAGTACATGGAACTACCCTGATGCATGACTTGCGTGGCACCCAACATAAATTTTGAAACTGAATTTGGACTGAAAGTGACTGCAATGTTTGTCGTAAGAGTGATATTGAGAATCTTAAGGCGAAATAACATCAGAGTGCCATGAAAGCAATACTTATAGTCTTCAAATGAGGTTATTTGAGGCTAGATATTTCTTATTCACTGTGCATGTTGCAAAGAAAATGATAAGAAGGAATGATCAAAACTACCTTCACCAATCTTTCCTTTACAGGCTTTGTCAGTGTCGGGCTTGTCTCTGTGCACTCTCTTTTGCTTTCCGCGTCTTCTACAAAGCATAAGCATAAATCTTAAAATGTTTTGGAATATCTGTATGAAAGGTAACGTTCCACCATCTGGATACTATAGTCAATCTACCCAATATACAATCCCGTGAATGACTGCCAGAAAGAAATATTAACCAAAGTTCAAAATCTTAAAAAGCCTAAGACACTAAACTGATAAAGGTATGCATATTTCCATCAGGAAGGAGTCTCGTGCATGTCAATGCTATGGGCAAAACGTCCTTTGCTCCAATCCGTCAAGATAACACTGATTAACGTTTCAACCTAATTTGACTAGGTATATTTAGTTATTATGTCTAAATGTGTTCTGAGTTGTTTAGAGTTAGAGTGAAAGTCTTTGTTGTGGTCAGTGAATGACCGAGTATGAAAGATACTAATTATCAAGAGTTTAGAAATTTAGAGTTTCAAATCTTGTTTTCCCTAAACTATTTATCAAAAATAGATTAAAGATTTTGTTCATTGGTATTGAACGTTCAATATGTGTGGCAATGCAGTCTTGTAAAGTATTATATATCATAGTGGCAGTTGCATCTGTGCCACCATCCTTTGCTCCATGAAGGAAGATATATATGTAGGTATCATGAATGGTTCTTAATTCATTATATTGTTGGTGGTAAATAAGTAAGCATTTACAACTTTGAATAGATTCAGATGTGCAGTAAGGGGTCGAATTGGTGTATTGTGCAAAGGAACGCTATTCCTGGAACCAGTGTCCTCAACCACCAGTAGAATAGTAAACGATTCTGATATACAACTGTTCAGATCTAAATACACATATGCTATTAAATCTATACAGGTATAGTTCGTTTGGCTCAAAATCGACCAATGAATTGCAATCTAACTCGAAAACTACGAAACATATAATTCTCAACGAAACACTGATCATAAACAAAACATCAGACCAACTCTGTGATTTTTTGCAGAATTTATGTCCTAAATATAAAAAAAGTTCACGATTAGTTAAGAGGAGGGGTGCAAAGAGAGGAACGGCCAGGAGTGCGAGAAAGGATGGAGGCAAGCACAGCACAGGTAAATGATTCAATGATCTCAAGTACACCTGGTTGTTCCTCTCTTTGCAGTCCTCCTCGTAACCAATAGTGAACTGTGTCAAAATTTTAATGATAGTTTGTTAAACAACGTTTTTATTTTAGGGCATAAATCTATAAAAAACAGAGTTGGTCTGATATTTTATCATGTTCAGTGTTTCATTGAGTATTATATGTTTAGTAGTTTTCAAGCTAGATTACAATTCATCAGTCCGATTTTGAGCCAAACGGACTATACAAGGTACCTGGCTCAGTAACAACGCCATCTAAATAGTTTAGATGATCGTTCGCTCGACATGATTTGAAGGCTGGAGTCGTCCAGTTGTACAGAAAGAAGCATGTTGCTTCGCAGGATGTATAATGAATTCCTGCGAAGCAACATGCTTCTTTCTGTACAACTGACGACTCCAGCCTTCAAATTATATCAGGCGATATGCTCATTGTGGCACATGCATGCGGTTGGTCAAATATAGATAATATATCTGAATTCAGACCCATGTGAGCTGAACTATTTATTATTTATTTGACACAAGATATTAGATGCACTACACATGGTATATACATATTACAAAGATGATGGTGATACATTAAGTAAGTAGGAAGGAGAGAGGTTCCTTGTGGGAAACTGGACAGTATAATGTGTATATGATGTGCGCGTTAGTAAGTTAGTGTGAGTAAGCATTTACTGCATTAATTAGGTGGAAGTAAGTAAGTCAGTTTTGTCCATATACTTATAACCGCATGGTATCAGGTATTGTTGCTACCACCTGTTGACAGACCGTGAAAGAAGTGACTACTACCCACCTGATAAAGAGTACAACGAGGGCCAATACGAGGACAACCAGAACACCAGCCACTGTAGATACCACTATTAGTGGAAGTGTGATATTGAGGAAGTCATGATCGGTTCCTGATATTGAGCTGCAAAGACATTGGTAAAGACGTTTCACCAGTCATTAACGTCAATCAACGTTACCTTTTCGCCGCACACACACACACGCACAACACACACTCTCTCTCTCTCTCTCTCTCACTCACTCTCTCTCTCTCTCTCACACACACACACACACACACTCACACACTCACACACACACCCACACACACATACATAGTGATAGAGAGCAATATATACTGGACATCTTTCAGCACCACTGACATCTCAATGCATGTGATGCCAAGCACAGCATCCACTGTCTTTGTCACAGTTTGAGCCATAGGAGCACATACATGCTGCCAGGAGGAAATGAGTCTATTCTTGCTAAATGTTTATTTGTTGGTTATTTCATTAATTGCAATGGATGTCGCCATCAGTTATCTCACGTTTATTGCCGATACGTTTCCTTTATGTTTATTTTATTTCCGTCCACCAGAAACAAGGTATTCCATGCAGATGTTATCTCAGCAACAACTAGTTAATAACGACATAACTGCTCAAGGTACATAATAACACCTCAAATGTATGTACATTCATTGCCAATTTTGAACGCATGAACCTGAAAATCAGGCTACCCACAACCACACTCACCTGTAATCACATCTTTGGGTTCGAACCATTCACGTCAGTAAAACTTATATCATCAGAATAGGTGATGCGTTTCTAACAGCTTTAAATTATATAACAAGAAATGAAGAGCTTGCAATGTTTTTGGACAGTTATTAATATATAATGATGTTCTTCTTGGTAACTTTTGTGTGACAGGCTTCTTCTAATAACGTATTTATTTTAATTTCAAGTTTAATTCCAGATCCGCTTCCCAAGTCTTTATCATGTATTACGAATAAACATTCAACATTCTTTACCTTGTGTGCAATCAGCACCTGTCCAACCAGGAAGACATCCTGTGTCACATGCGCCAGTGTGACGGTCACATGACGAATTTGGGGCTGAACACTTCCGTCCAGCACACGTTTCTGTTGCAGTTAATGCCATTGGTAGTGTTGTTGCAAGCTGTAAAGACAAATATCAAGTTTATCATTTATAAAGTTATGTAGCATTAGAGTTTTAAAGCTTCCCAGGTAAGTGTGTGTTGAAACGAGTCATGCGGTGATGTCGATCTACAACTTAACATTCCCCTAGACACGAGGCCAAAGCGAGGCGCCGTCAAAGCTCGAGTCTTGTTATTCCCTCGCATCAATTATGACTAACCTGAGGTCACAGTCAACAATAGGGCGAGTTTACCTTGGCCCGTATGTGTATCTACAGTATCCAGTACCACTGACTGAACCCACCAATCCTGCTAGTAGAAACGTCTCACCTTCATCACATCTCTGCCCCTGCCACCCTGGTCTACAGTCTCCAGGACACAATCCAGTCCACCGATCACAGGTTGAATCCAGGCAGTGACAGAAACTATCACAGTCTTTCCCATAGATATTCTGACTGCAGACTGTAACAGGTAAAATGTCTTTAAGTGCTACTATTTAAGAAACGCGTACAAAACAATATGAATAATCTGAAGGAAAGTGACTCATCTTAATTCATACACAGACATGAATATAAGTTATGAGTTTCATATCTTTGAAAGGCATTTAGAAGTGGAATACACCTAATGAAGAAGCAAGCATACACTTTGGAAACGTCGTGTTATCCACAATAAAGACGTTGACGTCCATACATCTTGTTTTTCTTTGTGTTTCCGGACAGGAACTCGGCTATATCCGTACTGAAGACTAAACAGTCTTTTATTTGCAAACATTGTTTAACGAATAACTTTAGTTAGGATGTTCCTTTTGAAACAATTACCATTACCAGATTTTCCGAATTATAGTGAATATTTCGAAGGGTGGTAATGTGCAGTGTACGCATCATTCAAACCATCATGTAGGTGTTTGATATATATCAAATATGTCATCTCGTAATGCAATGTGATTCGTTTGTTTCAGATATGTCAAATTATCTCTGTGTGTAAAACCAGTCAATATGGCCCATTAATCATTGAATAATTGTGAATAATTACTTGACTTATGTTTACATACTCTACAATAAAAAACAAAATCGAGATCAGTACTAAGTTAATACCATTTACATCACATTAAACCGACGTTTTCTAACACAATGATATCTGAACGTCGATAAATGATAATATAGTTCTTCAAATACAAATTAAAATACAATCAAAGGGGGATATGTTTGCACATGCTTGTGAACAAGATTAACTATGTATTCATCAGGTAAAAGGATATTAGATGTAGAAATTTGCATTAAGCATCAGTGAGACCTGCAGTCGGTAATTTCTCATCCCCTTGTCTAGTTAAAACGATCAACATGTTTGTGGATCAAGACCAATACATAAAAGCATTATCGGAAATGTCCTCATAAATGAATACTTTCATGAAAATGTCCAGTTTTTCAGAGTAAGTGTAATCAGCGGGTAAAAGCATAGACGCATAACATAACATCATTTTCACCATAAATCTCCACCTCACAGATGTTGAGTGTATCATTTTTCTCAGGCCCTGTCCCCAGGTTCGTGATCGCGACGTGTCTGCTGCTGTACCGTTACACGTCACATCAGTTTGGCTGGTGGTGGTTTTGGATGAACTCGGGAGGGTAGAGCAGTTGGTGGTGTTGGTGTTGGTAGTGTTGTTCAGGTAGATGGTAGAGTTGGCGTTTCTCCAGTGAGCTTTTGGGAATATAATTAGCATTACATGAAACATATTTTCCCCCAATCATTTTATTTAATCTGGGGATTAAGGTAATAAAATCCTTACACAATCATCCATAACATGGACGTATCACAACATCAGCCCCACTGGATGCTAGTATAGAGACATATGGTAGATATAGACTAGTGTTGGGTTTGATAGCCCGATGTTTGTTATTTGTACATGCATATTTACAGATCTAGATAGCCGCATCCGTGGTGTAGTGGTTAGAAGCGTCCGCCGGAGAGCGGAAGGCCGCGGGTTCGATCCCCGGTTGCGTCATGCCAAAGACGTTAAATTATGGTACTTGTTGGTCTCTGCCTGGCGCTCGGCATTAATAGGTACAACAAGGACTGGTCGGCTCGGAGTCAGTATAATGTTGTCTGAGTGGGGTAATCATGTTTCACTGCGGCATGGTATCTCAGTGGGCTTGCACTATAAAACCAGCTTAAGTCTGGGCTAGTACAAACAGCCGCACATACACACGCATGCACGTCGTCATATGAGCGAAATATGATGTTAAACCCCCATTTCACCTCACCTCACAGATCGAGATGGGTACATACAAAGAGGCTTATAACAACTTATGATAAATAAATACAAATGAATTATCAATAACAATTATTTGTGTATTCAAGTGTTAAATGTAATTGTGTTTTGTAATGAAATATGAAAACAAAAATGATACAATAATAACACAAAGATGCTGACGCGTAGGATACCTACATCCATTTCTACTGTAAATCCTGATGATGTCATACAGCTGGAAGTCCCGAGCCCAGATCCACTGTCCAGTCTGACCGAGATCTTAGAGCGTGGAAACAGGTTCTGCCCTCACCATCAGTGTCATTGTCTCCATCCACGGCCTTTGATGGGGACCAACCTTCCTCCACTCCAGATGTTGTTGATGCTGTCTTGTTCAGAGCAATGTTTTCTAAGCGCAAGCATCGAACCGATGTGCGAACGTTGAATGTGTCTTGCCATGGTGTTGTGATTCTCGGACGTCCAGGACGTTGGCGGTCAGCCGTGGTCTGTGTAGCGCAAAACGTTTCCTGAAGACGGTAAATGGTCGTTATGTGCACATGGAATGCATTGGCAACATCTGCAACACTCTGTCCAGCTTCAAGACGGCCGATGGCTTGTTCCCTCTGTTGCGTCGTTAACCTAGGCATTCTTGGTGGGCGTTTGTCGGGAGAGATTTCAAACTGATTTGAGGGCATTTTATACCCATATGTGTGTCTGTGACATAATGCGCATCATGATTTTCATGCAAAACTTCTGCAACCACATCCCACGGCCAATTCAATTGCTGCGTTTTGGCGATGTGCAATATCCAAGAGAAATCACAAACAGAACCTGAACACTAACAAACTGTTTTTCACAACAAAGGTAACCAATATGTAGTTACAATATAACATTTAACAATGTTCTGTCGAATATTTATTCATTTTGAAAAACTTGCGTTTTTATGCGATTCAGTATACATAGGCCAAGCAAATGCCTGAAAAAGGTCAGTCTGTGCATTCGATCTTTTGAGTATGTTGGAAATGTACCGTGGTTGTCTTTTGGCGATTGGCGTGTATGCATTAGTGCATTGATTTTTCTCATGACCAGTAACTTTATCAGTGTTTTGATTAAGTTTACTTGTAATTTTAATGCGTTTACAGTTTAGGAATGTTTCTGTGCTTGCATTCCGATGTACCGATCGGTAAGGTGGTCCAGTGAATCACTGAGTTTTAGGTTTTCAGGTTTTACGATTGTTTTTCAAGTTTAATCATGATCATAATGGCCTGTATCTTCTGTCCTTGGCCTAATGATAACATTTAGTGCTCATATCGTGTCTCCATCGTTTGACATTAAACCTTTGAATCTAATTGTTGATCAAAAGCATCACATTATTGAATTCATGGATGTCATCACACTAAAGCGGCATTACCTCAATCAAGACCAGTGCTAAGCAAAACAGATTCAGTAAACTGCATGGGAAAATGCAACATCGTCTATGGTAACAATATTTTGAGAATATTTGAAACAGACAATCCGCTGAACTGTTCTACAACAATAAATTTGAATGTACCTACATATGTACTGAGTCAAAAGAAACTTCACATTCTTTCTTCAGGGCACTATAAAAAGAACAAAGAGATAGTAAGATGGTTAAATTGTTATTATTTCATTCCTGAGATCTGTATGATGTACTCGATACATTGACAGTGCCATAATCAGTTCCATTAGGCTACACCGCCGTACGAAAACATGGGTATATAGAATGTCAAGTCACAAGAATAAACATGCGAAATTTCTCACTTCAATATCGTGTATGGCCGCCCCGCGTATTCACCACTGCCAAACACCGTCTCCTCATCGACTGCCTGATGCTTGTGAACACGTGGTTGGGGATTCTGCGCCATTGCTCTTGCAAGGCAGTGCCAAGTTCCTGCAAATTCTGAGGTTGGTTCCTAACACAACGAAGCCTTCTCCCAAGTGCATCCCAAACGTGCTTTATTGGATTAAGGTCAGGGGACCTCGATGGCCAGTCCATGACGTTGATTCCAGCGTTTTGAAGGAAATTTCGTGTCAACATCGCGGTATGCAGCCGAGCATTATCATGCTGGAACTGTAGACCTGGGCCATGAGCCGCCATGAAAGGAACGAGTTCAGGGTGAGCACCTGGTCGCGGGAAGCAGCAGCTGTGAGGTTTCCACGGATGACTTCAGAAGTCGGGAACGGTTGTTCCCACAGAAAGCACCCACACACCATGCAACTTCCGCCCCCGAATCTGTCGACTTCCTGTACACAACATTGGGCATACCGTTCACGACGTCGTCTCCAGACTCTATGCCTGCGGTCCGCGAATCTGAGGGTAAACCTGGATTCATCGCTAAAGACGAATCGATTCCAGTCTCTCTGGGTCCATCGGAGGTGACGTTGGGCCCACAGCAGACGTTGACGTTGATGAAACGACGTCAATATCGGCCCACGATATGGACGTGGAGAATGGAGATTGGCAGCCCGCAACCGATTTCGAATGGTCTGTGAGGACAGTCGACCTCTAAACCTCTCAGCCCTAGTTCGTGTAGCCGGCAGAAATCTGTCACGTAGGTGACGTAGGACGATTTGACGGTCTTCTGCTCGTGACGTCACACGTGGACGACAAGACCTTGGGCGATCAGAAGTGGTGCCAGTTTGTTGTAGACGACCTCGCAAGTCATACACAGTACGACGGCTGCATCCCATTGCTCTTGCGACACCAATAACTGATCTCCCCGCTTGCAACATATGATGATCTTCACGTTGCACATTTGACAATCGTTGCATTTCAAGTACCGTTAAAACTGTGGTTTAAAGTGTTTTTTCAATTCTTGAGGCCAATGCAAACACGTGCATATGAAGAAAACTTCGATGCGAAGATCACGTGATCGACTGAACGTGCAAAACCTGATTAGGCATTAACGTCATTTGCACGTTGAATGGATGGGTTTTGAGTGGGTTTTGCTAACGTTTTCTAGAGTCGAAAGATAGGGATCCCATTTCGGATACATAGATGTATCATCAGAGAAAAAATATTCATTATTTTTCAAATTACATTTTGTGAAGTTTCTTTTTGACTCAGTATATAACCATTATGACATGTGCACTGTTTCCGTTTTGTCGTTTTATGAAGTACGGGTTTTTACCTATTGTGACGCTATACTGCCATCGAGATCCTTTTACCAATCAGCAATAGGCAAAGAACAGTGTCCTTCTCTCACCAAACCACCAGTTACGTGATCATCAGTTCAATATCAGTTACGTGGAGTTTTTGTACAGGTATACATCAGTTCGACTTTGTCTCACCGGGGCGGTGGGCTAGCCTGATGGTTAAAGCGTTCGCTCGTCACGCCGAAGACCCGGTTTCGACTCCCCACATGGATACAACGTGTGAAACTTATTTCTGGTGTCCCCGCCGTGATATTGCTAGAATATTGCTAAAAGCGGCGTAAAACCAAACACACTCACTCAATTTGTCTAACCGTTTTGTTGTGCTTTGTACTTTGCAATAATATTATGATACATCGTTTTAAGTTATCAAGTCGAATATGTTTCTAAATTAAATATATTTTCGTCGAGCTTGTGACGTTGTAAATTTACTGCTGATCCACTAGATGCATTATGACCGAGTAACATGAACACTATGTCAAAGTTTTGCATAGGTCTTGAACATATAAATAACACGGCAGTTCTCGAATAACCCTGTCCTTCGTACTGTAGTATGTCGATATTGTGTTCCGCTTCTTTACCTTTTAGGGGCGGTGGGGTAGCCTAGTGGTTAAAGCGTTGGCTCGTCACGCTGAAGACCCGGGTTCGAATCCCCACATGGGTACAATGTGAACCCCACTTCTGGTGTCCCCGCCGTGATGTTGCTGGAATATTGCTAAAAGCGGCGTAAAACCAAACTCAGTCAGTCAGTCAGTCTTTTTACCTTTTAAAGCCAAACGTTCAATACAGGATTCATCATTTTTCATCGGAATATGTGAGGATCACCATCTGTGAGATGAGAGTCACGATTTGTCACACAGAGGTCACACGGTATCATATTTCGAAGACTTTACATTTCTTTCCATTACATACCCATCCACACATATGATGTTACTGCCAAATGCTGTAATTGATAGTTTATATACTGCCGGTTTTATCGATTTCTTTATGAAATATGTTATGTAAAATATGTTCAAGAACCAGAATTCTCGCGGAAATGCTTAATTTGTAAGAGCTTAAGTTAACATCTTGCCACTGCATGACTATAACCATGGCATCAATTCTCAGGCATGGTCAGAAATGCTGCTACATTGCTGGTGCGGCTTAAAACAATATTTGATCACTAAGTCACCCAGAAGTATGGCCATAGTCGTAACGTTTGAAAACACAAGAATGTCAGATATTGCAAAAAAATGAAAAGGATAACATGTATGATATACTGACGCTTCTGGCACATGCTTCCTCCCATAATCCAACCAGAGTCGCAGGGGATCTGAACAGGCACCTGTTGTCTCGTTACAAGATGCACAGTGACAGGAGTATCTACAGGAGTCTCCAAACATTCCTTGTGGGCAGGAACCTAGGATTAGATAAAGAGATATTCAACACTACAACCTGCTCTGATGTGCGGAACCCTAAGGAGCGGTACAGAAGGATGAGATTCAAAATTACAAGACAAGGTACATGTGTCTCAGACTGTCCTAGTGGGCCGGAACCTATGGAGATATAGAGATAGATTAACAAGACAAGACAGCTACAGGAGCCGACACGTGTGGGCAGGAAACTAAGTCCTGGCTGGGAGGCAGCAGTCCCTTAGGAGGTCCCTGTGAGTAACAGTGATGGGAACAGCCACGGGAGTCTTCAAAGTGTCCTGGTAGACAAGAACCAGGACAGAGCCACGGATAGAGATTTACCGTGAGGAGGAATAACAGCAAGTGTCTTTAAACTGCTCAGGTGAGCAGGAGCCAGAGGAGAGACAAAGAGTGAGACAGCGGTTACAGTGATACAAACAGGGTCTCTAAACTGATATTCTTTTAATACGTTTATTCAGAATTTATAGAAGGATTCGACATTTTATGGTTATCCCGAGTTCATATTTCGGAGGTTAACGTGAAAGAGTACCATCATTCAACAATCATAATATATGTATACGTTGCAAACTCTTGATCAACCGACCTGAGGTCGGGCTAACAGCTGCACACGTCGTACTGAGCATTCTCCGCCCTAGATGTGATATAGTTACCATAGACTTAAGTCCGTCCCAGCGATAAGGCTTCCTTTGTAAAACACCTGCCTGATTCACCTATTTTGTAACATGTGCTATATTTGGGATTACACTTTCTTATTGTGTATTCATATTTCGCCCTGATTTATACGCCCGAATGACCCTCCTGATATGTGCAATGGAGCTCTATAGAATATTGATTCATAGTTACCAATGTAGATGTGACGTCTTTGTGCTCATTCAGGGTAAAATCATAGTATCGGTTTCTATGCTTATTGTCAATTGACAAAAGTAAATATCGAGCAATGTAAAGGCTATAATGGCATTGAAACACAGAAGCAAACTTGTGATACACCCGCTATGTTATTCACTAAATGCTACTAAATGGTTCATGAATAAGAGGCGTCCTATAGCAGTCGGTAATCCTATGTTGCGGTCCCATTTCTACCCGATTGTTTTGATTGCTGGATTAATAGCCATATCAACCTTGATAAGGAATTGCATGGTTTACTGGTTCACCCATAAGCTATGGCCAGGTTTTCCTCCCACACTCAACTGATATCACACATAATAAGGACTCGTGTTCTCCTCTTACAGAATACAACATAAAGACTCACAAACGTAATGTATCAAATTGTAAAAAAGAAATTGAGATAAACCAAAGCTTACAATTCAGCGAACGTGAGGCTCATTTGTCACTTCATATTTTATCATTCGCCAAACACTCAAATGTTTTGCATTACCTCATAACAAGTTGGATCAGTGACATTATTCGTTTCCCTGTGTGGCATGCGTCTCTACTGCAACGGCTACACCTATTACATGGACGAGGAAGGAAACTTTGACCTAAGCCAACAGGAAAACAGATAAAATCAATATAAGGATATAACTTAAGTACACTCACCCGATGTCAGCTCTATCAGTCCCGAGAGGATTGCAACACCAAAGATCCTAAAGCCAACCATGTTGAACAGCCCGGATCGTGTTTACAGATCGTGTCAACTATGTATGACAAATGCATGACTTATGTGTACAGCTTCCGAACGACAAGGAAGGTATATGCACAGGGAAACATTATTAGCACCGTTATGCTCAGTACACTTCGACTTTCTGAATGTACAATGTGTTTAGCGTTTGAACAACTAGGAAGTTACAATAAATGTTATTGTCGTCACAATAACTGAATAATATTGAATGGGCTGTATGTGTGCTTTAAGTTGACACAGTGACGATCTCAAGTTGCAGGTACAAAGAGTATTCTACACAAGCTTTAAGTCATATCAAATCAAACCAAACGCCACTTGCCATTGGAATGTTAAGACAATATGTGAGTATGTGAGTATGGTTTTACGCCGCTTTAGCAATATTCCAGCAATATCACGGGCGAGGGTCACCAGAAATGGGCTTCACACATTGTACCCATGTGGGGAATCGAACCCCAATCTTCGGCATGACGAGGGAACGCTTAGACCACTAGGCTGCCCCACCGCCCTCAAGACAATGTGTAGATCACATTTGCTGTTCATATTCCTAAGGTCAACGCCAAAGAGTTGCCGGCCTTGAATATCGGATAAATTAGAATATAATGGACGAACAAGTCAAAATAAGCAGGAACATTTTAATAAATGGATTGCTGAAAATTAGGAATGAATCCTGCAGTAATGTATATAATAAATTAAGCCCGTCCTGCGCCACATGTTTCTCATTGATCATTATTGCACATTGAACAGACGAGCAATACATCTGCAGTTTGAACAGGGCTTTAACATATATAGAGGATGTTATATGAGTGCCCATGTCATACTATGTTTACGACCCGAGTGCCTAAATGTTGGTATTTCCCGAGCGAGAGCGAGGTATGTGCCGATATTTAGACACGAGTGTCGAAAACATAGTATGATATGGGCACGAAAACTGTAATATGTTTATTACCGAATAATTGAGGAAAATAAACCCAAATCTACTTTCAAACACAGGCTGGCTATCCGCCGTCGCCGCAAGTAGAACGCAACGTCACAGAAGAAACGTGACGTCATAGCCTTGTTCATGACGTCACGTCACCATGACAAAGTGATCTTTTGCCCAAGGGCATCGTATGAAAAATATGAACCCCGATATTCTAGCCCTCGTAGGTAATAAATCTGTTTATTGCATATTGTTTTTGTGAAATGATCAGACAAAGTGTTTACACAGATCAAATAACACAATGGGTCCTTGAAATATACACGACAATATATAAATGGTTTGGTCGTTCAACCCACTGATCACAGTGGCTCTAATCTATATACGATTTCTTTTGTTAACAGCAAATTTTATTTTTCCATACGCAACTTTCCTGTTAACACCACGCTTGGCTGGAGTACAATGGTCTTGTGTATTTGGCATTTCTATGAGAAATACAGAATCACCTTTGGGTTTGTTATCGTTACGAACTAATGTCACATGTTTTTGTCAGCAAATCATACCACTGGCAATGTTTGGAGGTCACCACCTTCACCAAGGAAGCCTTCCTCATAGGCAGTGATCCATACTTGGAGCGCATATTGGTAGACATTTGACTGTTGCGTCACCTTTGTGCCCGTCGTCTCAGTAGATTCATTGCCACTATACCTCTTGCCTCAGTGAGTGGTGGTTATGGAACGATCAATGATCAGCACTGTCGTGTGTTAAGTGATATGGTAATTTTTCCAGCTATTGGCTTATCATAACGTTTAAATGTGAGTTTTAGCAGTATTTTCATGTTTGATATATAACTAAGTTCAAGAACATTTAATACCTCAAGTAAATATGGACGGTTATAAAATTTTATAAGCATATGATATTTTATTGCCTATGGACAACAGAATGTGTCTGACAAAATAAATTACTGTTATTTGAAGATGATTAGAAAGATCCAAGACGGGGAATGAGATCACGGTGGTGGACAGAATCAAGATGTTTAAGGTTTCTTTTTTACATCATACATATAATCAAGCATTTGAAACAACAGACCTTAATTCCATACAAATTGTCAGTTAACATTTCTTGTTAGTTGATGTTATTTTCGAAAAGCTATTCTAAAACGTTGAAATGGATATAAGATGGTGTCAGTACCATCTTGCCATACGTAAAATACTTGTGCCAACCAGTCTTGCATATGAAGCATAGACATGGGCAGCGCCATAGTTACTCATCATAAATATGTTAGCTTCTGTAGTTGAAACATTACATTTAGCAGATTTTGTTGTTAACATTTAAATGTGTTTTGTTATTAATTTAGAGTTTACATAATATCTGCTTCTTTCATATTTCAATATTCGCTCTTCATCAAGACGTCTGTTCACGTTTATACTGCTGCCGCTGATATTTTCCCAATATGAATAGGGAGACAATTTTGAAAAACATCGCGTTACAAAATATTACACAGTATATCCGAGACGCTATGTGGATAATGTACTATTTGGAAACGGTTTATTCACAATGGTATGACAATGCTTGATAAACTACCTGGCGTTTGTAATGATTGTTTAATTTTCCTTCACCTTTTCTGAAATACAAAGAAAAAGACCCACATTGTCAGGAGAAAAGGTTGTCCAGGCATTGAACAACTTGTCGAGAGCCTGGTTTGCACGGCCTTATGGTCTTGCCCGGCCATCCAGACACCGCCTTCTTCATGATTTATAGATATGCAGCATTATATATATCCATGTCATAATTATGTCTGTTAGTATGATTCTTTTGAGACCTCGGGCGCATTATACATTGATGGTCGGAAGCCATCAGCAGTCCCACCTGTTAACTGGTCAACTTCATACACCTTCATGAAGAAAACGAATGAATAGCTGGCAATTCCATTTGACGTTATAAAAAAACACAGTAATCTGACTTTTTATCTTTATTTACAATTTGGCTGTCACAATGAACACAGATGTCGAAACAATGTAACTATTTTGACTTGAGCATAGTTTCAATGCATTACTATCAAATCTGATATCGATATGAGAAACTGAATTGCAATACTTACAGACAAGTACAGATGTGTATCTTGCTCTTTTAATGTCCTTGTCGACGGGATTGATCTACTCTGATTTATGTGTTATCAATTAATTATATTGTTATAGTCACTTTTCGACTGAAATATTGTCGAGGTGACTATAAATTCTAACCCACTGACTTACTACTGAGCCATATTATGACTAAAACAAGTTCTATATACATGGTAAATATATATAAATTATAAAACGTGCAGAGAAAGGACAGTAAAACAACTAGAATATCACAGAACAAGAATTTAAACCAAGCATGTAACTCTAGATGTGCATTTCTAAACAGAGCAATTCAATATAAAAACGGGCTGTAGGTCGCCAGCAACTGAAGGTACATCACCATACTAGGGACCATAGCGACTGATAATACTTTTGCACCCGTGAAGATCCGGGTTAGAATTGATCTCCAGCAACCAATGCTTGTCGTAAGAGGCAACTAACGGGATCGGGTTGTCAGGCTCGCTGACTTGGTTGACACGTGTCATCGTATCCCAGATGCATAGATCGATTCTCATGCTGTTGATAACTCGATTGTTTACAGACCGCCGCCATGTAACTGGAGGGCGGCGTTAAACAACCAACAATATTTTTGTTACCTGCATGGACCCTACCTGGATAAGCTAAGCTTCCAATGTATGTAGATAAATAAGGTGACAAACAATAGAAAAAAATCACAAGTCAGCTGGATGCGGATATCAAGAAATCAAAAATACTTATATTTACAAAGTACTGGTGTCTGAAATGTAAAAACATATACTGCTACTCTAAGCGATGGAGATAATTACATGCACATTAACATTACATCTAATATAAACATTTATAGCATAGTGTGACTTGTATATGATTACATAATCCATCAAGGCCCACTGTTACAAGATGTCATAACATTAAGAATGCAACAATTCATGTTGCTTGATAAAATGTTTTGTGTCTGTAAAGTTTTTCCTTGTCCTATACTATTTTCTTGTTTGTTAACACTGTTAATTGCTCTAGATTAGCATTGGGCAAGATGGACATAGATCTCCCGTAAATTTTAATGTTTCAACGGGTGCATCATGCAATTAATATACATAACGATTTCATCATCACCATCGAAAAGACTTGTACAGGTTTACCTGCTAGTCTCTGTCATTGTCATAAATATTTTATTGACACTGTATTGCATACATTGTCCACATGCATTAATCTGCAGAAAATTAGAACTGATATTGCAAAGAACTACCATAAGTTAACAATGCTTTACAAGTTAGCATAGAGTTCAGGCGATTCTAGTCGTCTTTGAGCAAACTCCACACACCGGCGCACATCCTCCTGAAAGTGAAACAAACACGTCAAGACTATAAACTAAAGGTACATAGTCCGAATTCAGATGTGTGTGACGGTGTCTGAAATGAGCTCGGAGACATGTCTCGCAACTACAAACCTAATGCTTTATCATGAAAATATTGGATCTGAAGTGTCTTTACATTTTTCAACGATCTAAAGTCTCTTGCAACTGCAGTCCACATACCAGTAAAATTAGAAAAAATATCATATCATGACTGTGTCCTACCTCAGAGAATGGAGGTCCACCGAGGGCTGGAGTGTAGACGTCGCATGTTGCTGATGACGTCCACCCTGCTGTCGTCCTGCAGTCTGCTGGCGATGTTCACCAAAAGGACCAGGAGCCGTGCCTCGCTCACAGAGCTGCAGTGAAGAATTGGAACGACTCATGGGTGCATTCAAAAGATAGACGAAAGTGTTGATAGTGGCATGGCATGGAACAAATTTTGATGTGTAAAACAAGACATTGATAGCACTTAAATGATGAACGAATGCAAATGATAATGTTTGAGTTAAAATTTGAGTGTATTATAACATGACCAATTTTCAACATACACATTATTATCAGATAAAACGACATGAGATACAGAAGGGTACTGAAATACGTGTGATCCCCTCCCCCATTGTAATGATATGTCAGTAGTTTCGCAATCCCTTCAATATTATTCGTTGATGTCTCTTCAGATCAGAAAATACTGAGCAACATGCAACTACCAATAAAACACTGTTCACTGGTATTGTGTTTGACTGTATACCCAAGCTGTGTGGTTTTACGTAGTTCAGTGTTTGTGACATTACGCATGCCTCAACCGCCGTTTGCACAGAATTGCACATGGTGAAGAAACGAACTGTGACGCTAATAAGGCAAAGTACTTAATCAGATTTGCTCAAATACATGTTATGGAGATTTGAAAGTTCTGACCTTATATCTTGTATCATTCAGGTGCTTGATAGATGATAGTAATATTGATGTGTTGAGGTTCAGAGACCAGTACATTTGTACACGTCATCAGAAAGAAGTACATAAAGTACATGTTTTATGGTTACAAAAGACAATTGTTTGGTACAGAAATAGACTGATGTGAACTATTCTTACTGTGAAACGATTGTGCAGGAACCTCGTTCTGGGTCACTCATCCATGTAAGTAAGCTGTCAATCAACAAAGTGACACTTGAATCATGTGTACTCCCGGTCACATGATAGTGTTGAATTGCTGAGGTGACGTCAGCACCCTGAAACACAGTTTTTAAAAGCATAAATAAACTGAAAATTACTTTTAGCCATTTTCTAGCACGATAACATCGAGGGACAAATTTCGAGGAAATTGAAACTTCTTTAGAGGAAGTTGAAGCCTTTGGAAGTTGAAGTTAGTAATATTTCCAGCCATATCGAAAGATACCTAAATTTATAATGCATATATGAATGGACAACAACTTTCTATATACAGTATCTTAAAAAGTAGCGACGTTTCGGTGTAGCTTCTTTCACCGTTATCAAGCTAAATTACTCACTCCATCCGTGATAACTAGAATGTCCATTTTGAGAACTACACTCTTTCGACTAGAGAGTGCTTTAACAACTAGGTTACCCCTTCAATAGTAAAGATGATGTGTTGGTAATATGTTTGATGCCGAAAAGGTTCCGAACAAAGTTTCCCAAATTGAATCCGTTTTAAATCCATATGCTGTGCAAGAGGAAAATACGCTGGGATTCCACATGTTGCTGTGTACAGTGTGACATCAGAGGGACCAAATGTCATTCTTATGTTTTGAACATTACAAGTCCAGAACTATATTGCTCTCACACTGTTTGACCTTGGATGAAGGTTATGACTGCTGTCAAAAAACATCTTGCACTCATTGCATCCTCTTGTCAGTGAAAGGTAATCATGAAATGTACCATAGACGTTATAAGCCTTACATTTACTGTGAGATCAATAGTGTTCAGGATAACATCATTAGATATAACTTTAGACGTTTGCAAGCTTGCTGTCAGCCTTGACGTGGAGACAGGACTGTCCATTGACGGGAGGAAGATCTGCAAGCCAAACAGTGTTGACTTAAGTGACTTTTTCCTTTTCAGGATCGTTAATATTTGAGAGTACATTTTGGATCGTAGAATTAATAACCACTGATAGTCGACTTTTTAAGAAAGAAAAATCATCAGAAATAAGATAGTGTTTATTTTACAACCACATATTATCTTTATCAACATAGCAATTGCTTTCCGAAATATTTTATAACAATTCCTACTTGGGTTTCTGTAGCCAACGTGATCAAGGTCCGCGAATCGCTGTTATACATCTGATTCCATAGGTTCTCTTTGTCTGGTTGGGACGTTATTATGAAGAAGCCCTTCCTTGATGTGCAGGACTGCAGTGAAATGCAACTTATTACAGATACATTTATGTTAACTGTATATCATCCTGATCCACATAAATAATGTGACCAGGCATTTATCAACGAAGAAGAGGGATAGCTACGGTAAACACAATATGTTACGTCAAAAATAATGGTTAAACGTTTAACTCATTTAGTGAGAAGATTAGAAATGTTAAGATGTTCGACCTGATAAGCATATCAGCAACCCAACCTTTAATCTGCCATATTAAAGAGGGCCTTTGCAGAAAGTATTACACTTTATATTATGTGACAAGGATATCAATAAGTTAACCTTTATTCAGTCATATTGACAAGTACATTGAAGAAAGTATCAAACTTACTTCCACCGTGATGATATGATCTTCAGGAAGACCTCCTGAAAATGAACAGTAAGTTTAGTACAGTTTAACTGCAACTGTGCCTTTTATTGGAGTGAGTGTTTGTGCAGTGTTAGAATGTGAAACATGAACAGGGCACCTGCTCGATATGTATTCAATTGCATTCCACTAAAAGTCATTCTAGGTTACTGATTGAAGGCGAAAATAAAATTTCCATGTTCAACAGACATCCCGACTAAAAGTATACACGAGGGTTGTTTTAAATCGCTATCATCCTGCCCAAAAGCACAAAACAAACACGTGGAATAGCAGGTGGATTGTTTACCTGGAAAAACATTGGAACTCCTGACACAAGTGAAAATGGGAGTTGTACAGACATAATTTTGCTGCTTATGCGTCAGGTTACTCCAAGTGTCCACGGGGCGGTGGGGTAGTCTAGTGGTTAAAGCGTTGGCTCGTCACGCCGAAGACCCGGGTTCGAATCCCCACATGGGTACAATGTGTGAAGCCCACTTCTGGTGTCCCCGCCATGATGTTGCTGGAATATTGCTAAAAGCGGCGTAAAACCAAACTCAGTCAGTCAGTCCAAGTGTCCACCATTAATAGTTTTATGGCTTCCTGAGGCCTTGCTTGTTGTAACCTTGACCAAACAACTTTGAACAACACATGAATGACGCAGATAAAATGTGCTGGAATATAACTCGACACAAAGGGAAAGGGAGGAGCTTTTGTCACTCTGAATCCTTATGCTTATATCTGACTTGTAAGCAGAAGAGTCCACGTTGCATCTGTTTTCTCTGGATTGGGTGACTAGAGTTGCACCCGACATAAGTGTGTCACTTATGCGTCTGATTTCCCAATAAATAGTTTTAAAGCTTTCCTGAGGCCTTCGTAGTTGTAACCTTAACCGCACAACTTTGAACAACACATGAACGGCGCAGTTAAAATCTCCGGAGATCAGAGGTTATGAAATGTAGAAAGGCAAAAACTGCTGGAATATTTCTCGACATAAAGGGAAAGTTGACTTTGGTTATCCCTTATGTCATACAATCGTGCAGGGCGCTTATGTGACTCTGGGTCTTTATGCATATATCTGAATTGTAAACAGATGAGTCAGCGTTGCATCTGTTTTCTCTGGATTAGCAGACAGAACAGCTGACATGTTAAACACGGTCCACGTTCTGGCAACTTTCTAGGTTTGTCTGGATCATACCACTCAGTCTGAGTTAAGCCCACCCACAAAGTTGAACAGACTGAAGTTTGTTTGTTTATTTGTTAATACTCTCCAGTCTGACGGCGAAGTGAAATAAAACCAGGAAAAGAACATTAAACTTACTTTCGGAAGTATTTCCTAAAGCCTGCAAATGAAACAAGTAACACATTGATAAAATAAATATACGATGTTTTTCAATTTATGGCATGAAATACAGTGAAACCATGTGAAACATACTATGCTCAACAAAAATATTTATGGTTGGTTGTTTCATCATGTTTTCCACTATCATGATGTTAGTTTAGAACAAAAGATTTTTTCATCGTTCTTGTATTAACAACCCTGAAGGATAGTTATACTTTTAAGTTTACCTACCTCCAGGTGTTCCTGTACGTTCTTGTTGCCCATGGTAAGTGAAGACACATGACTGAGATCTATCTGTCTGATGGTGTCAGCATCCAGTGAGGTGTCCCCCTCTGTAACCGCCATAGCAAAGGCCTGGTACAGGAACAGGTACTGCTCCTGGTGTTAGACAATGAGAACGTAATATCAGGAGACAAGGATAAATAACATGTGAACTACACAGGGTGTTGGTGGTGAACTCACTTTGGTCTGTATCATGTTCTTCCTTTGGCCTCTCATGTTGGAGACGAAGCTGACGACGTCCACAAACCCTTCTGCCGCTGCCTGACCCACGAGACTCTCTATAGCTATGTACGTCCCTGTCCGGCCTATACCAGCACTAGAGAAGAAGAAGAACCAGTATAATTATGACACTATATTCTTAATTCACACTAATATCTACATCAAAGTCCTTATGTTCCACCTGTGGCTCGCCCACCTCAATTACTTTCATATAATCTACATCCTCCGAAACATACATATATCAGTATGTATTTCTCTATATATCAAAAAGCAAACTGCAAGTCATAATATAGAGTTACAAATACATTAATTGAACGCGAAATACTCTGTATCATCTTATAAACATCAGTTTCGTTTCCGTCCGAGCCAACCTGTGTCCTCGTGACCATCCTAGAAAAACTCTAACCTGCAGTGGACTATGATAGGTTGTGTTTGATGTCTTGTGGTGGCCTTGACCCTCCACATAAACTCCAGCAAAGCGGAAGTGTCTGGTACACCATGGTCAGGCCAACTTGTGAAGTGAAAGTGGTGAACGTGATGTATCTTTCCGTCCTGATATTTAGAATTAATAGCATTTGATTTATGTTGAATAATACTTTTGTCACAAACTATTACATATTTATGTTTATATTTTCGATAAAAATATGGTTTAGAAAAATTGTAATCATTGCAAAATAATACCGATTTATTGTGAACAGACAGTTTTGTGACTGTGTAGTTTACAAAGTTGAGTTTCTGTCTCCTTGGTAACTGAAATATCGCCGTAAATGGATGTTCCTTTCTCGGGCCAGTACTGAAGACACTTCATCTGTAAGTATTAGGAGATTTGAAGTGAAGTAAGATTAATATCTCGATTCATATCAAACGAGGCTATAAGATCATGAACACGAAACACTACAATGGGTGTTATTTTGTATGTGAGATTTCTGGGTTTTTTTGTATTATTACGGATGCGTATGGACTTGGGACTCTCGTGTCAACCATCCTTTTTAAACACCATTATCCAGTTTCTGCTGAACATTCAATATCTTTGAGAGGAAACGAGGTGAATGTGTGGAAGATGCTATATACATATGTATTACCTTCCCCGCCTCTACAAGTCCCGTCACCATGACAATTGTTGTAGAATGCTCCTGATAGATCATTCTCCAGAAATCCACCACTACTTCCGGTCTGTAGGGACCTTACAAGAACATGAATATGACATGGAACGTCCATAGGTCATCCATAGGTATTCAGAAAAAAATTTAACGCTAAAATAGAATCCTACTTTTATGGCAGTGGTCACACAAAAGTGACCACCTTAATCAGATAAATCAGGTTTTCATTCTTTAAAGTTAGATATGCTCAACCACAAAAAGCAGTTTAACGCAATTACCAGTACATGTATGTTTGTATTTTCAACAGTCCAGTTTGGTCTAACAACTGCTTTTTTTAAAGTATAAATTAGTTGCTCAAACAAATTTTCGTAAGTCCGTTCTTTACCTTTGTGGTCCTGTTTCCACTGAGCTGTCATAATCAGATCATGACTACCAGAAAGCAAACTGAATGCCCACTTTGTTTCAAAAGCATAAAGACAAAAGGCATAAATTCAAATGCACACCGATCAATGTTGTAAAGTTAAAGATAGTCTCAAAACGGATAGATCCCAAAGTGGAAATACACCTGCAACTCAACATTACGTCATTATCAATAAATGAAAGGAGGAATAGATTTTAAATGATATTGTTTTTGTTTGTTTTGATTGTTTTGTTTTTTGGGGTGGGGTGGGGTGAGTAATTATACAATATCTGCTTTCTTTAGATAACAGTTTGAGTAACCGTTTGTGTGTGTGAAACCTTACCTTGTGCTGCTATGTAACGCTTTTCTGCTTTGTATCCCTGAACAGAATTTAATAAGATATGTATTATTTATATAAATATGAAACGTCACTGACAGCAAAGCCGTGTATAATAAGATTTAAGCAACATAATAAACGCCGACACTACTAAGAGTATATGTTAACTTCAAAGTACAAACTACAAGATGAAAACGGCCCATTTTGCAGTTACGCTCAGTGTGTATTCGGTGACTGACTGACAGTAGTTGCTTAACTCACATCGAGGTAGCTGGCGTTGATGTAGTCTCCATCTTTGTCGTCACTGACGGGGTGCAGCACCACGCGGTTGTAATCATCTGAATACGAATACATCGTCGATTTAGATTTAGACATTGGATGACGAAATGCAGCTGACTGAAAACAATTATGTTGTACAATGTCAAAGTTGACCTTAGATTTAAACTTGATCATCTACAAGATGTACTCACATGGGTAATAGCCTCTGAACCTGTTCTTTCCTTTGTTTTTAGGTTGTTGAGATTCATCATAGGAGTGTACATAACCATCAGGAAGTCGCTGAAAAGGAAAACATGTGACATACACAGGGTAATACTAAACACTTCACTTCTTCTACATTATTAGCACATCCACACTATGTACAGTTATCCTAACTAAAACCTGTAAGCTGGAGGCAATTGGCACTAACTGTAATTGCCTTTGTGTGAGAGTTGGTTGTCTCGAACAGCATTCTCTGGCCACAGTCACAAGTGGAAAGAGGGAATGCATTATGTATGTGCTAGATATAATCAGTCTTTCTTGCAGCCACAATTCCCATTCGGAAAACAAACCTGAGATAGTTTGCTTCCATTTATATTAATGGATGTTTCAAGGAGATGTTGTCGGATGGTTCTGTGTGATGCAGCTTTCATGGTGTATACTATAAGTGTCATTAAACAACATAATTATGTTACATTTTGTTAATTCTTCCTCGAGCTTGGGCACATCATTTTGTGTTTACCTTAAATTCTTCTTCTGCACTTGCTGGAGTCATTTCTTCCACCCTTGTCTGTAATTCTGACACAGGAATCACGTGATCCCGTCCATTGACGTCCAGGTTGTAGTAGTTTCTGTCAGGGGCATCTGGTTTTTCCTCAACCTGTGCAGCCTGCTCAGACACGTCATAGTCCTCTTCCTCCTCTACTTTCTGAAGGTCAAGGTCACCTGTTCCGCCTTTACCCGTATCCTTGCTTCCAGTCGTAGATACAGCTTCCCCTGCTGAATTGCATTGGGATTCGGTCTGCCTATGAGCCTTCATTTGTTTAGCTGATGTCTTCTCTGGAGACAACGTTGGTTTCTCGCCGTTATCAAAACCGATATTCATGTACATACCAATGTCTTCCGCTACAGGAAACAAAAAGGACACTTCACAACTAAGATACATGATATAATAATAATAATAATAATAATAATAATAATAATAATAATAATAATAATAATTGATTTATAGAGCGCCTATTTCGAAAAGATATTGCTCAATGGCGCTATGAAAAGAAAAGATTGTAGACAATGTCTATGGAAAAGAGAGTTTGAACAGATGAGTTTTGAGAGCAGTTTTGAAAGCATCAGAAGATTCTATTTCTTTTAGGGTGAGTGGTAGAGTGTTCCAGAGATAGGGGGCTGCAGCAGAGAACGCTCTTGATCCCATGGCTATTTTGACGTGAGGCTGTGTAAGCAGTAGGGAGTTTGACGAGCGGAGCAATCGGCTTGGAACATGGAGATGAATGAGGCTTTTAAGATATTGAGAAAACATGTTTTCATAGATGCAGCTGTGTGTAAGAAGAAGAAGTTTGTATTGAATTCTGCTTGATACAGGAAGCCAGTGAAGAGTTTGGAGGATAGGTGTCACAGTTTGGTAGCGTGGTTCACGGGCAACAACACGGGCGGCTGAATTCTGTATCCGTTGGAGTTGTGAAAGGAGCTGTTGAGGAATGTTGTAACAGAGGGAGTTGCAGTAATCAAGTTTAGAGAGAACAAGGCTGGTCGTTAGAAGCTGGGCAGTGTTGAAGTCTAAGAGGGTTCGGATCTTGCTAATATTGAAGATATGGTAGAAGCATCCTTTGCTGAGTGATTTGATTTGATTTTCTAATGACATTGTTGATTGAAAGATGACACCAAGATTTTTTGCAGAGTCGGACTGCGTGATAACATCTTGTCCAATTTCAAGAGATAAACTGTCAGGCACTTTGGAAAGTTGATGCCTGGATCCGATGGTTAAGAACTTAGTCTTTGTGTCATTCAATTTCAGAAAGTTCAAGGTCATCCAGTCTCTTATTTCAGCAATACATTGTTGTATCTTCAGTGCACAACCTTGAGCAAGGTTAGGCTCCGCTGACAGATATAACTGATTGTCATCAGCATAAAGATGAAATTTCAGTGAGTGCTTTCGGACAATGTCACCAATGGGAAGAATGTACAGACTAAACAGTAAAGGTCTAAACTAAACATATAATGTCTTTATCATGTATAGAAGTACGGATGATATGTACAGAAGTTACCTGACCTCTAAATACGCAGATCTATGTCAGTGTCCACTGTTCAGGTCCATCATGCAGCATTATTATTGAGTATACAAGATCATTTACGTATGCTACAGCCTCTGTATATTACACCAGTCAAAAATAATCTTGCATAAATTAAGCAAACGCGGGAGACGAATCTACCTTGTGTGGGTTTCACGTTAACAGCATCCACTGGCTTATGTGTGGAGCGTCCATGACTTTTCCTCCGTCTTCTTCTAAATGTAAGGACACAAATTGAAATACAGCTTGAATAGAACAAATGCTCGTCATTTTGTAATAAATATGTACTGATTCATTGTCTTTGAAGACATTGCAGGGATTTGAATTGATGTACAAAAATGACCTGATCAGGATGACTGCAAGAACCAGCAGCAGTATCACCACCACACCGACTACAGCTCCTACTACAGCAGCGATTGGAAAAGAGGTGCCAACAGGCTGCTGACTAGGGGTCTGTGTGGCAACTTTCTCTGGATGTAGAATGGAAAAGATTAAGTCAATGTAAGCGTAGATGTGCACACATCTCTCATCACATAAAACATGCTTACTGAAATAATCTTTGTCATTTTAGAAGCCTCTGTATCAAAAGCAAATTCATGATGTCTCACTAACATTAAATCTGTCATAAATTGAAAGACAATTTCCTTCTTCAGCAGATTATTGTTGTTAGAATTAACATATGCGTGAACAAGGCACTTGGGTACCCTGTTTCATAACCGCTATAGAACCATGAACTCTTGGTATGCTTGGTGTTGCCCGCTCACGTTCTACCCTGCTTTTGACAGTCAAACCTTTACTCAGAAACATGACGATACCATGCTTGGACAGGACTGATTCTTTCATTTTGTTGACATACGTATTTATTTCCAAGAGTGAGTCAGCGTATACTTTGTACAGGCAGTGGGAAGTGTAATATATTGCCGTACTCTGACCATATGTTGAAAGTCTGAAGTCTGACATCAAATGACTGTTTTAACCCATGTCATATCCGCTTCTTCCCAGCCCATTGACATTACATGGAATTCAGCATTAACCATCAGCCACATCATACAAACATTACTCTGTCACGACAACTGTCATAAACTCTCGTGACAGCTCCTCTCCTGATATAGCATAGCTTATGTATTGTCATCTCATCTCCCTTATCTACTATC